ATAACAAAAATGCTTTTTTTGTGACAGCCCCCCCCCCCCCCCCCCCGAACAGCAAACATCAGAATAGCAAGATCCCCATGAAGATGTTGAATTGCTTTGTAATCTAAGCTCTGCTTTGAGGTTTAGCAGCAGTAGTGGATCCCTCCAGGTACATGGCTCTTGCCTTTATTTGGCTGGTGCCCAAATGCTGATCCTGTTTCCATGGTGGTTCTTTTTCATGTTTCTCAAAATTTTAGCGGTATTGGATTTCTGACTAATGTATTGTTTCAAAGCACGGGCTTTACACGAGAGATTTAACTTCTGAAAAGGTCAGTTTACAGTGAAATTCGGTTTTAACTATGGAAAAAGCAACACCTGTTAATTGAGTGGCTCTTTTTTGGTACACTGGTAAATGTTTTGCTAATATGGGTTAATTAGGTAGCACGCTGTAATTGGGCAATAAGCCATACATACTGATAACAGCAATTAGGTGTAGGTCCTTACAGAAGCTGTACTATTGTTGCTTTTTGCCAGTCACTATAGCTTTAAGAACTCCTGTTTGCTCAAATATCAGATATTTCTATTGCACAGATGTGATGCTAATTATTGCTGTGGGGAAGGAGAAGCAGCATGTCTGAAATACGAGCAAACAAGTCTCTGATAACAGTTTTGTCCTGCAAAGATGAATGGCGTGCCCTCTGCTTTTTGGCTTTTTTATGTGGTTTTGGAGAAGTTAAGCACCAGTGAATGCTTTTAGTGACACAGGAAGAACAAAGTCATGCACTGATAAACAAGGGGGAAAATCTATTTTTCCAATTCCCCAAAGAATTTCTTTTTTTTCAGGTGTTGTGTTTTCACTCTAAGCTGCTCTTGTATTGTCCTCCAGCGCCAGACAGAGGGCTGATTGTTCAGGGAGGAGATGGCATGTACGTATGGAAGCTGTTTTCTGCGAATATCAAGCACGCTGCTTAGGGTTGATCTTTCTTGCTGCAAATAGAGATAGCCCTGGGGATATTACTTTTTTGAAGCACGTGGGAGCAGCACAGTTGGATTCCAGCCCGCAGAGGAGTTGAAATGAGAAGATGAATGCAAAACTCAGCATCTGGCCCAGAGTAGTAAGATGAAGCGGGGTTAATTGATTGCTGTTTCTTCAGACAGGCTGCAGCTTAGGTGGTCTGTAAGAGCTTTGGTTTCTGAAGTGGCTCAATCTGCTAGCAGGGGTACAGTGCCAGTAAAGAGCAGGGGATCTTGCTTGCCATTCCTGGGCCAGACTCTGCATGCTTATGGGGTTTCACTGCCTTTTGTGCAAGGCCAAGCCCTATCATGCAGCTCCCAGTTATCTGCCAGGTCAATTCTCCTGCTGCCTTGGGAGCTGGAGCACGCCTGAAGTTCTACAGTGTGACTTCTGCTGTTATGAGGTCCTGCATCTCCACCCCAAGCTGATAGGAGAACCAGAATTACATAAAACAGCCTGAGAAACAAACTCATTGAGCTGTAAAATTGTGTGCTATCAGTAGGTGCTCACTGCTCAGGAAAAATGGGATTTAACTTGTTAAATTTAGTACTGTGATAAGCCATGGCTGTAAACTTCACTGAAGAAAAGATATCGCCAGTTGACACTATGAACCACCTCCTTATATCGACTCACGGACTTACCCCATGGGTATTTCTTGTATTTACCCAAAATCCTGAACCATGAGCCATGTTAGGGATAAATAAACCTATTCAAATGTCTCATTTTTTCCCAGTGTTTGGCACCCTTATTTAGTAAAGCAATTAAATAGGTACTAATGTAAAATTATTCCAGTTTTGGTAGGTTGGAGGGTTTTCTAAAATAAGCATTAAGTACTGGATAGACCAGACGCTTATTTTAATGCAGAGCTGTAGACTGGAGCCCAAATCTTTTTTTTTTTCTCCAATGCAAACATTATCTGGCATTTTCAAAACAGTGTGTTCAATTATAATTTTAAAATAATGATTAATGCAGCTTTTCTCCCTGCTTGGAGGGAGTGTGGGGGATGGAATGTTAAGAGGGCTACATCCTGTATGTTGCTTGTATCCTCCCTTGACAGGTTACTGCATCAAAGGGATTTTTTGAGAAGTCTGTTTTCATGTGCCACCCAAAGAAATTGTGTAGTGTCCAGAAGTCAGATGTCAGCGTGATTCATGCAGAGGTCTCATGAAGATTCAGCGCGTCTCAACAGTGAGCAGCAAGCCCCAACCTAGAAGAAAAGCTGCTTATTTGTACATTGTCAAGTCAGAGCAGGTTGATCAGATCTGGGAAGGTGCCCCCCCAAAAGCAAGAACCACCCAGCAGACTCCCAGCCTGCAGTTTGAAGCCAGGAGCTCTGCTTTAAAACAAGTAAAACAATAATAAATAAATGAAGATGATAATGGTCTCTGATAGTGGGGCTGGTTTTGTCTCTGCTTCCCAAATAACAAAATAATCATGTGACTATTGGACTAGAATAATGCTAGATGTGGAGGGCATGGGTAAGAGTAGATCCTGTGTAGGATCCACGCTAGGAGCTGCTGTTTGGAGACATGCTCTAGAAAGCACAGCAAATCTCGCACTACGCAATTGATGCGAACTCATGTTTCAGCTGTTCATGGGATCTGGTCTCTCTGCAGATGCTCTGCTGTCTGGGGTGAGCTCTGCTTGGTCTTTAGGACAACTGGTTGGATGTTTGCTCCATTACTCAGCCCTGATCTGTCATCAGAATGTATTATCCATATAGTGACGAACTAGAAGGAAGGGTCAAAGGATTTTTAATTTGTGTCATTTGTGAGAGGTTTGTACTTGTGGCTCAACTTTGGGAATAGTGCACATGAGAGATTGATCAGTTTGGGATCCTCTACTGGTCTGCAATCTGTCCATATATTCAACGCATCTTACTGCCAGGGCTTGAGAAATCCACTCTGTTAGGTTTCCCACGTGAATGCCAGTGTCTTATTCTAAATGAGAAGTGATGCATTATGTAGTTCATAATTGTCAGTGGAACTACCCAAAACTGAGGCATGAACTTAATCGCTGCTCCATCAAAAGCGTTGCCTGAACTTGAAAGGCTTTTGTTAGCACAGTTATATCATCTCAGCTGTATTACAGATCTTTTGTCTTACTAAGATAAGATGCAGCTTCTATTCATGGCTTATTTTACTGTGCAGATTCACTTTCTCTTGTGAGCAGTGCTGCCTTTACTCTTCCATTTTAATACCAGTGCTGCCTTGTAGAAGGAGGAAGAAGAAACCATTACACCTTGGAGAGTGTGATAGAAAAACCGAGGGGTAGATCTCAGTCTGGAGCAAGCCAACAGAGAGATTTTGGGGATTTGCTTTACCTTCACAGCTGGCAAAGCAAGCATTTTGTGCTGCAGCTTTAGGAAGGGTTTGGAGTTCAAAAGCTGGATCCATTTGCACCCCCTTAAGTTTAGAGTCTCCCCATAGTGTGTGCTCTGAAGGGGATGAACTGGAGGATTAATTAGGTCATTTACCTTTGGCTGCTGGCCTGACATCTCAGGCTAGTGTTTTGCTAATCCCAGTTTTTTTAACTGAGGAACTATCTTCTGTCTATTCCTCAGCCTTATGAACCGGACCATGATAGACTGGATTATGGTTCCACATACATGGAAGGTGTTGGCAATGTCTTTCTCTGCCTTGAAACGAGCGTGGAAGAGCACTGTTTCCTCAATATTGTTATCCTATGTTGGTGGGAGAGCCCAAGTGTTGCTAGAAGGTCTGTGGGTCATCACTCCCTGGATGGACTTATACCCCTGCACGTTAAGCGCCAAAAACTACCTTGAAATGGTGCACCTCCAAGATTGTGATGGAGGTCGTGGGATCTGTAGGGGATAGTGCTCCCATGCCTCCCTCCTTGGGTTTTTTGCTGTTTAAAACATCTAACTTTCTCACATATTTGAGCTGGAGCTTCCCTTAGTCTGGCTCAATGTCCTTAAACTGAGCATCTTGATAGGAGTTCAATCCCTATCATGAGGAAGGGAAGAGGATGTAAGTGTCAGTGGGCGAGCTACAGCTGGAGCTGCTGATATGACTCATTTGCTGGTAGTTAATATGGAGCAGATAATTTACATGTATTTAGTCTGCCTTCCCTTAATGTCCTTGCATGTTCTCCCCCTACCAGTTGTCGGATAGCATCAGACTGGAGCCCTTATCTGTCTCAAAGGGTAAAGCAGTTTATCCTGCCACCCCCTTTCCGCTGATTTGGCCTTCCAATTCTTTCAGTGCTTTGAAGCCACTTTCCAATGCCTGAGTGTTCCTGGTGTGATTGCAAAACCTACTTTCTACCCTTCGTTTCCAGCCTGGACATAATAGCTTTTATTAAAAGATCTAAAGAAATAGATTCAAACAACCTTGTATTGCAAGGGTTAATGCTGGAGCTCAGCTTACACATCTGCTTGCATAAAATACTTCCTCTAAGGATATTTAACCTCACATTTAAGTGCCTGCCCTGTATTAAACAGCATTGCCAGTTACTGTAACAGGTTGAAGCTTTCCATAATTTTTTTTGGCTTCCCAATGAATGTTAAAGCAATCTGCTCAGCACAGGACTTGGAGTGGGAGTGCCCGATACAAAAGTCGAAGGCCGGAACTACACTGAGCAATATAGCAGGGACGGTATCAAAAGAAGTTGCATGCAGAAAATATGAAGCTACTGAAAAGTAAAATAAATGGGAAATTTTCCTTGATAAGTATTTCAGGGTTTAAAGATGACTGTTTGTCTTCTCTCATGTTAATAGTGTCTTTAATTTTATTGAGTCTTTTACTGTTGTTGCTGCATGCGAAGAGTATATCTGTACGTAAGGGATGACATAGCATGTTTTTTAGTGGTGACATGTAGATATGCTAGAGCTGCCCAAACTCCTGCCTGCTCTGAAGTATGTTACTCCCTGTCCTGGACTTTCTCAATAGCTGGTCTGTTCTAAGCATCAGCAACTGTTACAGGAATTGGAAAGTAAATGTGTAATAGGGCTGGGGAAAGTTGATGCTACAAACAAGCACTGATAATTTCCAGTATAGATTGCTATTGAATTTTGGAGCTACACAGTCACTCAATGAAAGCATGACTTGTGCTGTAGTGGTGCTAGCAACAATGAGCGAAGAAGGTCAGCCCTTCCCTGTATAAAACCACGGAGAGCTTTGTGCGGTGGAGGCTGCCCTCCTCAAACGATACAGTGGAACTAGAGGAGGTCAGAAGGGTGGCAGAGATGTCAGGACGATGGGACAGATCAGGTACAAGGGCTGCCTGAGCATCCCTCCCAGTGGTATCCCTTCCAGGAGAGTTTGCTGTCAATCATGAGCAACATGGAGAAGGGGAAGGGGGGGTGATTGCTCAAATTACCTCACAGAGGAACTGGAGGACTTTGAATGATATGACAACTGGCAGCTTCAGAACACACAGATAGATGCTCCTTGACAGATGTAGCTGTGCATCTCTGCCACAGATGCAGGATTGCTAAGGAGGCCAAGGGCTTGGTTCAAACACCAGACAGGTTCCTGGAGGAAAAATTCACCTCCAGCTATAGCACACAGGGATAGTGACTCTGGCTCAGAGTTGTGGAGCCACAATATACCAGCAGCTGGCTGCATGCTTGCCTGGTTATACTCGTCCTAGGCTCTTGCCCTTTGTGCTTGCCAGAGCTAGTATCAGACTAGACACTCCTCCGTATTTTGGGGTCCTGAGAATGGGTTTTGTTCTTCTAGTGTATTTTTTAACATCATTTGTACCATATTGCAACTGAGAATTATTGGCCTTATTAGATTACGAGGATTGCCTTTGTGCCACTGGCATACAGAAGGCATTTTATATGTGCTGCCTGCCTGTTCATAGAGGAAGAAATAAAAGCTATGTGTTGGTACAAAGGTTATTTTCACATGCCTTCTTGCAGTAGTCACTTTGATATGTAGCACTATTATGCTAGTGAAACTTCCTATAGATCATAGGATAAAATTGTTAGGTGTCCAGCAGATTCAAGACATTTCTGAAAGAAATGATGCTCTGACTCTTCATTTTTTGTTCCCCAGACTTTTTTGGCGTGATGTGGATAATAAAACCTAATGTGTCTGGGATGCCTCCTCAAATGCTTGCATCGAATACAAGTGCTGCCATAAAACATGATTACTTTATGCTGAATGGAAGATAGTGTTTGCTTGCCCTGGTGAACTGCTGCAACTTACTATTTTGAGGCTTACACTGTGTTAAAGACGTGAACTTCAGTGGGGAATTGAGAAAAGACAGCTCTGTCATCAGTGATGCTCTTCTGTGTTGTATCTCTAGCTGCAAATGTTGAATGTGGAACTAAAAGGTTTTTTTCCTTTTCCTTTGCAGGTAAAAATCTCTACACCAATGAATATGTAGCGATCAAACTGGTAAGTAGAAGCTTCAGGTGTTCTTAAATGGCTTGCACTTAATATTAAAAATTCAGACTAAAAGCAACTCTCTCACTTTGGGCTTAATGCTGCTCTCACCCTTAGCTAGAATAACTTACTTAAGCTAAGATAAATTCTTGAGAACATTTAAAAATGAGGAAAAAACCCCATCCCTCCACCTGCTGAACATTCTTTTGTACCTAAATGGTCTGTAGCCGTCTTACACCAGTGAGAGACTTGTTCCTTTTTCCAAGCTGACTACCAGGTCCCAGTGAATGGCACTGATTGTGGGTTTGCCACCTCTTCCCGCTCCTGGGTTGAGCCTTTCTGTTCAGGACTCTTATTGATTCTCCAGATTCTTATCTCCCTCTAGATGGGCTGTTGTCAGAGCATTTGATTAGGAGTCTGGCACTCTGCAGCCTGCTGCTCCAGTTTTGGAGCCGAGAGGCAGGAAAGGGGGTGTTTCAATGGTTAAAATTCCCTTGGGGGAGAGTAACAGCTCAGTCTGGTATGATGCCAAGAGACTGCAGATGTAATAGGCAAAACAAGATTTAATTTAGCGAAGGTTAGTCTTTCCTCTAGTTGATTTGGGTGGCCTAGGATATATAGCCATAGCATCTTCAGAATTATTTTCTCCTTTTATGTCATAGGATACTAAAAATGAACCAAATTGGCTCACCAAAGCATTGCAGGAGTTGTGTTAAAAAACCCAAGTCCCAACAGTAGCGAACTTCAGACCTTGTGCAAGCAGTTTTGTTCACATCTCTCTTCTCATCCAGTATTACAAGCCTCAGTACCAGTAATCAGATTATTTTCTGCCCTGCAGTCAATGTAGCCCTCCCCAGGTGCATGCAATGACAGTTTCCATGTTTCTTCTATGCTGGACCAGCGAATGGTCCAGGTAAAAAGTCTTCTTCTGAAGACTGCTTCAGGGTATGAAGGCACTGTGGTCAACAGTGATTTGGAGTAGGAGTCTAGGAGATGGGGACACTCTCTAAATCATAGCTCTTCCAGATTTATAAAATCATAGCCCAGTAGTTTGTGTTTATGCCTTAACTTTTCCTGTCTATAAACTAAGACTTTCATTAGTCTCTTGGGGTTTTCAATTTTGATGTCTTCAGTTGATGTGCTCTTTTCTCATTGGTATGCTCTTTAATCACAGATTGAAACCCTAGAATCTGAAGTTAAAGTTGTAGTGCTAATTTGATATTAGCAGCACACATGCCTGTTTGCCCAACCAGTGTGTCTGGCAAAATGACGGGAGTCATTCAGATTACAGAAGATCAAGATGGACTTGGTGCATTAATTCTGATCGCGTTCAAGTGCCACAGATTTTATATCTCTAGCATTCTCCTTATACGATGCGCCGTAGATGAAAAATAATTAGGGCTTTGCAGGAGGGACTTGTTTTCAAGCCTGTTGGCAAATGTCAGAAGATATTCCCTAAAATAAACAAACACCTGCAGTGGAGCTTAGGTTGTCCTTGATATGGATCCACATCAGGAAGGTGGACTGGTGCTTGTTGAGTAGCTCGCTTTTTAGGCAAATCTGACAATAGAAAATGCACTGTGTACACAGGCCAGGTGTTCTATTGAATCAATAACGCTTCTAATTTGCTTTCAAAGATAATCCCACAAAGTTACAGTATCGGAAGGCGTAAGGAAGTAATACAGGAAAAACATAGCCGTATTAATCCAAAGGATGCTTGTTTCTCTCAAAATACTGCCTGCAGTGACACCTCCCAGTAACCTGAAACCTTTCAATAGCCATATGGCAGACCTGGATGGCATTACCTTATTGCTACCTTAATCTTAGTTATTTTTTCTGGTAGTATTCTTTCTTCCCCCCAAAATAACTGACTGTTAAAGCAGATAAAACCGGAGTGTGTTGCAGAGTATTTGCCCTGTTGTGATTCATGCTTAATAATTTCTGGTCCTTCACATTTGAAGGACTGGAATTGCCATCCGGTGGCCATCCAGGCATTTGCATACCTGCTCCATTTCTCAGAAGATTAATGAGGGAACAGTAGAAGAGATAGGGTTTTTTTGGTCTCCTAATCTTAGACCATATTCCTCAGGAGTAAGAATTACTTGGCCTCCCTAACAGCAAATATGTTTCTCTTACATGTGTATTTAAGTGTAATTTTCTTTATCCTTTGAATATTGTGGACTAGTGGTAGAATAGCTGCTTTCAATGTACTTGAAGGCAACATTTTCTTTTTATCTACATTGCTGGACCAAGTCAAAACTCTGCTCCAAGTCCTTCTAGCTGTGTGAGATCGTCTTCTGCAACTGCAACCCTGCTGGCTCAGCTATTCGTGCCTCCTGTCATGATGTTAAAGCTGGAAAATTAGAGAATTGTGTAATGGATGCCAAAGAGCTGATCAGAAAGTGCTGTGAAATTCAGTGCTAATGTCTCATGGTTTCTCTTTGGGGTTGAGGATTGTGCTGCATCTTGGAAAATTGCTAGCGGTGGAGAAGAGTGCCTGTGTTCTGACTTGTGTGGTGTCACCATATAGCTCCTTCTCCTGCTCTTCAGCTGAACATTATTTGGTTAAGGACATCTTGTTCATGGAGGAGTTCGTCTTCTGAAATGCCTTGGTCGTATTTACTGGTTTAATCGTTTGAGGGTTTTTAATGCTGAATTGCAGATAGTAGGAGTTTCTTCCCTGCATGAAACCAGCCCGTTAACATACAGATGTAGTGTGAGCGCAGGTACCAAGCTGTACCCTCTCGTAGTGATCATGATGCCATTAGTTCGAGCTGTGGATCTTGTATGTTAAGCAGTAGCAATTCAGTTATTTTCGCTATAAATGCAACATCTGCCAGCATCCTTGAGCCCTTGGCCTATAGGACAACCATCTGTTCTGGTATGATCTTCTCGGAAGCTGCCACGACTCTGGCAAGTGTTCAGAGCTCAGGCTCCAGCAGCTCCTGATGCAGAAGTGGTTTGGGCTTACTTTCCCTGATGTTGTTACGAGCAGACTCATGTCCTGATACATTAATCCTTCTACCTTTATCCAAATAGTTTATTTAGATAAATAAACTATTCACTGAACAGGCTGAGTTCGTGTTGCCCTAAATCCCTTTGTTTTGAAGGTGTCTATAGACTGACCCTTAAGCCGCCATTAACAATTATCTTAATTTAAATGTGATTTAGATAACAAACTTGGTTTTGCATTGCTTTATATTTGCCTTCAATACAGGTTCAGTTTTGCCCTCAGAAAATTTTTCACTATTGTTTTCTAAGTAGTTAGTTGGTCATATTTGACTTCTGAAGCTTTTAAACATCAGAAAGTTGAGAAGCAACCAGGAACATTTCTTCCCCTTGCTGGCAAATGGAGGGGATGACTTGAGCTGGCGATGAACAGCTTGGCTGGATGTCAAATTGCCTGAATTCCTGTACAAAAATCATTCTTCCAACTTAAAAAGAAGTCTTTAACGTGAAGTTCACGCCAAATGTGGACATTAGTCTTATGCTGCAGACCAGAGGTGAAACAAGACAAAGTAGATCAGCTAAAGCCTTCATGTCCTCCTGTGCAGACAGAAGAGTTGTTCCACTGTACCGAAGATGTTGGCTCAAACTCTTATCTAAGGTGCTTTTGCTCCGATTCATAGGAGCTGACGTGAAACACGAAAGGACTTTTTTTGTGTTGGTCTTAGGGGGCTCCTTTATAGGCAAAATTCTAGATAATGAGTTCATCAAATAGAGGGCTATTTAGCAGGTTTTTGAAATTCAGACTTATTTTGGTGCCGTGCTATGAATTTTATGTAGTTTTGAGCATGGAGCATTTTTTTTTCTCAAAAGCAAGGAAATAAGCAACATCCAAACAAAAATTGAGGGCAGTATTAACTTCCATTTCAAAGATGTCTGGGAAGTAGGTGAATCCACATTACTGCCTGTCCCAAGTGCATAGTTTTATTGAAAATGTAATTTCTCAAGTCTCTTAATCCTCTCCATGTTAACTTTATCTTTTTAGAAGCTTTGTAATCTTACATGTTAATGCCTTTATGGATTGTAGGCATTAAGTTTTGTGCATAAAGCGCAGATGAGTAACAGTTGAGAAATGTAATGTTTCGGGTGTATTGCAGACTTATCAATTTTTATTATTCTGTGTATAAAAATAGAATATTCTTGAGTGTTTTGAGATGTTTGACTGACACCTGCTACTGAAGGGGAAGACTTCTTCCAGTGTTTTTACCAGATACCTGGCTGCACTGTAGTGCTTGCTGCAAGCAAGATTGTACATTTATACAACTGTGGTCTGATTTAAAACACAGGTACATGACTCAACATTTTTCAAAACTATAGGCTAGTGACCAACAAAAATACTGCGGGCAACCACAGTCCACAAAGTGAACTTGGGACTTGATCTTTTGCAACCTTGACTTTCCTCCTACTAATGTCTAGGGTCATTCTTCAAGGACCAGGAGCTTTGTTGAACGATTCTTGAATTTCACTGCCATGAATGAGCTTTGTATTTAAATGAGGAGGTTATTTATCCTCCAGAGTGCAAGTCTTATTGCTTTTTGTTCTCTGCTTATTTAAATGACATCTAATGGTGAAGTCTGTTGTTAGACTTTCAGTCTAGGGTGTTTTATCTTGAAATGTGAAGCATTATATACAGTGACACATCTTCAAGTATAGGATAGAACTCTTTTCAGTCAAACGAATTTTAACCAAAAATTTTTTTTTTTTTTTTTTTTTTTTTTAGGAACCAATAAAGTCACGTGCACCACAGCTTCATTTAGAATACAGGTTTTATAAACAACTTGGAAGTGCGGGTAAGTAAACCTACCTTAAGCTTATAGAAAGTTTGTGATTTCTTTATTAAATCAAACGTCATCATTGTATTTGTTGTGTAACTCTGACTTGAACTCACTGATCTGGACAAATTCTTTTAGCCTCACACAAGTTTTGGAAGAGATTTGGTCAGTATAACATCATAATGATACTGAGTAATTATGTGGATCTAGAAACGTGAGTTAGTGAGGAGTGACTGATATGGGAAATACCCATGTAAGTGTGTTTGTAAAATATAGGAACCTTTGATGGAGGGCAAGTTATTTATGTATAGAATGACAGATTTTAAAAAGGTGACATAAAGTGTTAAAATCTAGGAAATTGTGTAAGAAGCGTAGAGCTTTTCTAATAAAAAACTGAAATACTGTTTTCATTGATGTTTACTAAATCGTAAGAGTGTCCAAAAGCCCATGGGCTCAGTATCCTCTGTGCGACTGTAGTCGACAACAAATACGAGAAGAATATAACAGGATAAGCCAAAGTGGGGGTTTTTGTTTGGGTTTTTTTTCTGGCAAGCTGTCTGATTTCCCTAATACAGGGCTTGAGCTTGTGTCTAATAGTGTTTCGATTTTTCTTCCCTGAATTTATGGTTGCTTTTTAAACCTATATAGACTTCTAGCATGTGCTGTTTCCCATGCCAAGGATTTCCACAGCCTTGACTACCCACTGCACAAGGAAGTCTCTCTGAAGCAAAGACCTCCTCTGCTCCTTCTGTGCCTTGGTCATATATTGACCTTGGGTTTTGGCAAGTTCCCTACATTACTGTAAAATTTTTACACTTTCTTCTGATTTTATTTTTCTTGTTTTCCCTGGATGGACCTAGCTTCCACTGGTAGAGGATGTGCTCTCATATTACCAAAATACTAAGTTGAACAGAATGTAAGATACATCTGCTCTGAGCTCATAATATTCAGTGCCTGAACAGTTGTCCTGCATTTTTCCTTTCTGCTTGTTCCAATTAATTTTTCTAATCCATTTCCTTAATTTTGTGTAGCACATTCTGTGGAGATTGGGTGCTATAGCACTCTACATTTTGTGGCTTCTTTGCTCCTTATAGGATGCAAAATCTGGAATGTGGGAACCAAGTTGTCACTATTGGAAACACTAAAATATTGTTGTTATTTGTTTTAAACAGAACTTGTCCCCTGAAATAAGGTGCTCTTTTCTATGTATTTTGTATTCTGGTGGTAGCATCTGGTACTGTGGACAAAGCTCCTGATAGGTTAATGTCGTTGCTTAATTCCAGTTACCTGTGCTTTTGAGACTTTAGGCATTTCTGCTGAAGCCTGTGTAGTAAATAAATCAAATGTAGGATCACAGAATAAGAAAGAGACTTAATTCTGCTCCTCGGTCCCTACTTGAGTTCAGCTGATGCTTGCCATCTCTGTGATAACCCAGCAAATGTCTTTCATGACACGTGAATGAATCCGTATCTGCTTTTTCTACACCCATCAGCTTTCTACCACGTTTTAAAGATGTTATTGAAGAATTTTAAAACTGATCAAATGTTGGGGGTTTGGCTTTATTTTGGTTAGATTAAGTATTTTTAATGGGTTTTTTCCTGTTTCTAACAAATCTAAACTTTTCATCCTACAATGAAAATTTTTCATCCTACTTACTTACCCACACAGGGCACTTCTCCATGTGCACGCTAATGGAAGTATTTCTGAGTATGCTGCCATCAGACATGGAGATCTTGCCTTCCAGATCTCTCTTCCCCTCTTTCTAGGGGGGGTGCTGACTGTCATCTCAAGCCTTTTTGCCAGTATTTGTCAAGAGACTGTTCAGAAGCCTCATGAACAACATGACTTTTACTTCTATCTCTGTGTGGTCCCACGGGCATCGCAAATGCAGCTCTGATAATGTGTTGAATGCCATTAGAAGCTCTTGTTCTACAGTTTTGCCAAAACAACTGGAAATAAGCCAGGAGCTTGGGTGGAGGATGTGAGCCTCCTCTCTGGTCTCTCCATGTAACTTGGAAGCTGAACAAAATAAATTTTGGTGGAGTCAGACTGCCAGGACCAGGGAGCCTTAACTTGGTGTCTGCATGCCATGCTGAGAATTAGGGGCAGACCGTCTGCTGTAAAAACAGATTGGTGCTAAATATGGGCTGACTTTGGGGAAATAGATGGGTCTGTTCTCAGTGATGTTGTTAATGCCAGGCTCCCCTTAATGGTTCTTGCTTAAAAGCTTCAACTGCTCAGACAACCTTGAACTTCAGTAACCAGGATTGGTTACTTGAAATTATGGTAGACTCGCCAAATGAAAACTGAAGGTGCCCAAACCCATGGTGTGTATGACTCAGAGGAGAGCAACAGTAGTGTTGCATGTGACATACTGTTCAATAAGTTAGCCAATTAGTCTTGCCAAATAACGTGGCTGACTGCAAACCTCCCACCGTTAGCCTAAAAAGTGAGACTAGTAAAAGCATTGCTGTAACACTGCAGTAGCGGCGTGGTCCTCTTATTAGTGCAACTGCTGCGTTCAACTGCATGTACAACCAGATGGTCTCGGTGAGCAGCATCTCTGTGAGAAGTCAAAATTGTCATCACCTGCAGCATTTGGAGAACATTTTTTTTTTTTCCTAATGAGAAGAATTTTAACGGTGATTTCCTTTTTCCTGGATGTTCAGAATAAACATTTTTAAAGTATATTAGTCTTGGATACTGATCATAGGAAAACTTAGGTTGGAAGGGACCAACCTACTGGGCTATGGATCAAGTAAGAATCTTCTTGTAGGATAGCTTTGTGTGTGTCGAAGAAAGATTTTTCATCTCTAGTATGTGACTGGATGTGTCCACGTGAAGTTGGGACTAGCCTGGAGGAAAGTGTTTTGTTGCAGTTGGCCTTCCAAGAGAATGGTCTTGGATGCTAAAGACTGCAGAAAACTTCATCAGGACTTGCTTGCAATGTACCAGGTTGAGAAGCACAACCTCCAAACTCAGGAGCTTAAAGGTTTTGTGCATCAAAACCCCTGCAGAAGCCCAACCAGTGTTGTTAAGGGGGCCTGAAGTGCTCCATCACACTGGTAGGACAAGTGCTATTTTTGGAGAGAAATTTGCAACTAGCTCTGTAATGCTGACTTCGGAGTCTGGTCCTGTAGTACATTGCAAAGAATATTTTTGGTGGACTTTTGCCCCAAAATTTTAGAACAATTCTACAGTTCAATGCCTGAAGGTAACAGTTACCTGCTTCACTTGTTGCCATCATCAAACACTAATGAAATTAGTCTCTCCTTTTTTTTGGCTGTTCAGTTTAGTTTTGCATTTTCCTTGGTGGTGTTAAACAGAGTAGCAAACAGCCCAATAATTCAGGGCTCTGTCAGAAGTTAATTCCTGGGATGAGCTTCCACGTGAGATCTTTCCACGTGAACGGAGGAAGCAGCACAGTTGTGTGATAGCTGCCTCTTCCTTTTGCAGCTGCTCTGTGGCTTCCTGTGCCACACACTCCATCAGCATCGATGTTTAAAAGACTTTCTGACAAGGCACCAAAGTTGCATCTGTTGCCTCCCATCAGCACCAGCTTCTTCATCTGCCACGTGACTCAGATAAAGATCACTAGTCAGCTTGGATTAACTGAGGAGAAGACTGGATTTCTTGTGTCTCATACATCTTAAGACATATTTCACATTAGATTAAGATATACTAGAGCAGTGAAAAATTTGATAAAGGGATCTAAACTGTATGAATGTAGCTCTTTTTGGTGCTTCTCAGAATACTCAGTACCAGTGGATATATCAAATGGATTCAGAAGTAGCTAACAGAGATAGTCCTGGCACAGAAGTAACCAACTAACAGACATGTCTGATGTGCTTCTGCAGGTAGTTGATGCTATCTCTGATCTTTCAATGTCTCCCTGTAGTAAGAGAAACTAATAGCTCCCCTATAATTACCTACCTTGCCCCTCTAAACGGAGGGATGTTTGCTTATAGAAATGGGTTTTCATGATTCTTCCTTGAACTTTTCTACCCTCCAAAAGAAGAGGCAGGGGCCTGCCTGCACAGTGACCATCTGCTAGTCTTCTGTCTCACTGTGGAATTAAATATTTAATAACCTAAAATAGTGTATGACTGCTTTACCTTAATGTAAGCAGTGAAACAAAAAAAAGAAAACCGCAGGCACGGTGTCAAAGACCTGATGGTCAGTCCGTAGGGTGTCTCAGGAACGGAAGAGAATTCCTTTAGGTTTTAGGTAGTCTGGGATACGATCCGTTTGCTGACCAAGATAATTGGAGTAGTTTTAACAATCTCTGTGCAAACTAGTTGTGTTACTCTGTCATCAATCCTGTAAGATGCCGGTGTCATACTGAACTGTTTCATGGTTGTTCTTTGTTGTAAAATCCATGTGAGCATGCACAAACATCCTGACACAGAAGATTCACCCTGGCCCAGGCTATTCCCAGGATCTCGCTTTACTGGTGGTGGCAGAGTCAGTCCTGAATTTTCTTCTTGCTGGATAGTACCTACCTGTGTATGAACATGAGTAGCACAGCTATCCACAAGAAGTTCAAGTGTAATGGGTATTCCCCAAAACTAGGCTCTTGCTCTATGACCCTCTTTGAGGACTGGTTGTTCCAGGTGTTCTCCTGCTCCCCAAGGCTGGTTCCTCGGCTGCTGGGCTTCCCCTTGCTCTGAGGCTTCGTACAGCTACTTAAATCTGCTGCTTCCATACCTCAGGGACAAGAGGAGCTCCCTGTCTGACGTGACTGGATGCTTTTACATCTCCTAGGGCTGCCAGAAGCAGTTTAAGTTTCCAGCATGTTTCCAGTATTGGGTCAGTCACTTGAGCATGTCATTTGTCTCCTGCACTTCAAGTTTGTGGAGTAAAGGCTTGGCTTCTTATCATTCATAAAAAATCTTGAATAATCAGGCCCTACAGCTTGCAGGATGATGAGTGGAGGAGCTCCATCCGCACTGCTGGCTGGTGTTTGAGTGTCTGGTTCCCCGTAAGTATTGGGGTGGGGAAGCTGGGGTTGGCAGAGC